TGCCTCAGCGATTGAATTATACGGCCAAGCGTGCGAATCTGCCGGGGCCTCACCCTGGCCGCCGCGCGCAATCACAAGGGACGTGATGGTGGCGCTCTGCCGCCGCCCGGGCACTCTGTCACATTATTTGCAAGGCATACGATCTGTGCTGCATTTGCTCCGCGCAGACACGGGGGCCCTGGCGGATACGCGGACCCTGGTGTTCGGCGCCCGGAAGGTGTGGCCACCGCGCGCGCCGCCCAGAAGCTCCGTGAGTCCGTCGGGAGGCGGAACCGCCTGGCGCGCAAAGGTTTCGTGCGCGCGCCACGGCGGACAACGTCCGCGCGATGGCAGATTGGTTGCGCGAGGCACGGCCGCGCGCCCATCGGGCGGCGGGCCGCGCGCGCCGACCGGCGCGCCCTGCGGTCGGCAGATTGAGCGCGGCGACATGGCCGACGCATTCGTCATCTGCCGGCAGTTTTGCTTGCGCTTCGGCTCCGAAGTGGCGGGGCTGAATGCGCCAGCACATAGCGTGATTTCGCTCCACGAGGACGAAGGGAAGCACCAGGTGCAGGTGCAATCCCGCCGCCGTAAAGGCAAGGTGGCGCCAGACCCGGCGGGCCGCTCGCGCGCGCGCGCGCGCCGCGGGGTCGCGCCAGGGGCCCGCTTCGCGAAGGTCTGGAGGGCATGTGTGCGCCAGCTTCAGGGCAAGCGACTGTGCGCCGTATGCATTATTAGGCGCCAGGTTCGCCCTGGCGAACAGCTCCTGCCTGGCGTCGCCTACGTGGGCGGGCTGGCTTGCGTCCAGCTCGCCGCTGCCCACCTGGGGCTCCATCGCGCGCCGGGGTGGGGGGCGCGTTGCTTTCGGCGCGGCCGCGCCGACCAGGCGGGGCCCCGTATCCTGTCTGCCCGAGCTTGCACGCGGCCGGGGCCGCTCGCGCGCGAGGCACTCCGCGCCGGGGGGGCCGGCGGCGTTGTTTTTCGAGGGCGGCTGGAAGTCAGTGGCCGCGTTCGGGTACCGCGTAGGTGGCGGGCGCGGCCTCGCTGCCTGGGCCGCGATGGCACGGCGCGTTATGAAGCGCAGGTGCCCGGCAGCAAAGACGAAGGCCATGGCGCTAGCGGCCGAGGCGGAAATCGCGCACTCTGATTCCGACAAGGCGCCGCCCTGCAGGCATCGGGGTCGGGGCTCAGCGGCGGCGCTTGGCGCGCAGGACGCGCCGATCGCCGCGGAAGCAGTGCAGGGGTCGCCCAGGCCGCGAGGGAAGCAGGCCAAGCATCTGCAGTCTGCACGGCGTGCGCGCGGGCGTCGTTCCGCCGAGCATGCATCGGGTGACGTCGGCGAGGTTGCTCGACTCCGCGACGCCGACTCGCGCCCCCACCGCTGCCAGGCCTGGGCCCGCGCCTGTCGACGGTTGTGCCCTGCGTAAGCGCGGGCCCAGCCTCGACGCGACTTCTCCTCGTTCTCTGGCTCGATCCCGCTGCCCCGCGTCCATGTTGTAGTGGCCTCCGGCCAGTGCCGCCGATCCGGGGCGCTCCGGATGATGATGATGATGATGATGATGATGATGGTGGTGGTGGTGACGATGATGATGATGATGATGATGATGATGGTGGTGATCGTGATGGTGATGGCGATGGTGATGGTGATGGTGATGAGGATGATGGCGACGATGATGATGGTGATGGTGATGATGATGATGGGCGATGGTGATGGCGATGGTGATGATGGTGATGGTGATGATGGTAATGGTGAAGATGATGATGATGATGATGATGATGATGATGATGATGGTGACGGTGATGGTGAAAGTGATTGGAGAATGCTATCTCGCCAGTTTAAATGATTTCAGCGGGAGTGTCTGTGGGCATGCAACTCCTTCAGGCCGGTTGTGGGCGCGGGCCCGAACCCTTCTAATTGTTGTGCAGAGAGGATCTTTGGCGATGGATGCACAGAGCGCTCATGCATCGGCGTTCCTGCTTCTCTTTCAGTCCCCCGCTGCTCGGCCTGCCACCCCCCCTCTTCCGCCGCCGCCGCCCCGCCGCCGCGTCGTCATCGCCAGGTTCGGATGGACGCTCGCAGAGACAATGCGCTGACGGCTTCCTCTGACCTCGGGCTCACGGCCCCCTTTGAAGGCCCGGCATTGCGGCACCAAAATGCGGAAACAAAGCGCTCGCAAGGGGGCTCGGAACGCTCGCGGGTAAAATTGCGCGGGCATGGGGGGGGGGGGATGGGGCGGGGGTAGATATGGACTGGGCACGCGCCCGCATGACACGCATTGCCACGCATGTGGGCGGGGGGGGGCGGGGGGGCATTGGGCATGCATGCGGCGCGGATCTGGCCGTCGTTGCGCAAGCTGAGTTGCGCAACATTCCACATGAATTTGGTGCGCGCATTCTCTCTATCAGCGTGTATTACACAGGGGGGTCGGCATGAATTTGGCGCACGTGTTGCAATGCCCCCTATGGGTAAGGAGAACAAGCTCATTTTTTTTTTTTTGGCACATGTTCAGTGAACGTATGAAGGGATGACCAGCAGTTTTTTCACGATGCAGTTGTCACACGTCTCACGTACATTGCGCGCGTCATGGGTGGCGTGCTCCAGATGCTTGCACGTGGCGCGCGTCAGTCTTCGGCGTCGCGGGGTCGTCGCGTCGAGTTGCGATTACCTTGCTCTTTCTGGAGGTCGGGGTCCACGCTCCTCTGCCCAGGGCACGGGCCTGGATGTCGCATGGGCACCAGACGGATGATACTGACCCCCATCCACGTGACGTTGGCTAGGGCTGGGTATCCGGTTTCCCTCGACGTTCGAGCGCGCGCGGTGCGATCCCTGCGTTCGGTGCGCGAATTGCATCGCGACGCGTGGTGCGGCGTAGCCATCTGGGCTCGAAATCGCGTGCAAGTGTTTGTGTTCCATACGTTATCCTTAAGCGATTCGCTCCCTGCCGCCGGCCCTTTCTTTATCAGAATCGGATATATCAGAGCTGGATTGGGGTGTCTGGGCGCTGCCCTGAAGCAACATGGGAACGTCGCGCAAGGGCGGCTGACGATCAGCAAAACATATTATTTCGAGGGCTCGTGGCCGCGGGGCCGATCTGCGTGAGGGGTGCCACCGAATTGCAGAAATGTGGTAAATCCTTTGTGTTTTTGGACCCTGGCCCTCCCGATTTGCGCGAGGGGTGCCGCCGAATTTCAGAAATGTTGAAAATCCGCTGTGGTTTTGGAGCCTGACACTGCCGATCTGCGCGAGGGGTGCCACCGAATTTCAAAAATGTGGCAAATCCTATATGTTTTTGGAGCCTGACACTGCCGATCTGCGTAAGGGGTGTCGCCGAATTTCAGCGACGTGGCAAATCCCATGGGTTTTTGAACCCTGACCCCGCCGATCTGCGTGAGGGGTGCCACCGAATTGTAAGAATGCGGCAAATCCCTTTTTGCGGTTTGGACCCTGACCCTGCTGATCTGCGCGAGGGGCGCCACCGAATTTCAGAAATGTTGCAAATCCCTTTCTGTGGTTTTGGACCCATGGCCCTGCTGATCTGCGTGAGGGGTGTTCATTCCTTCCCCCCCGCCCCCCCTCAGAATGTCAGAGCACGCGCCCAGGGCGCGGTAACCGGACCCTTTTCGGCCACCCCCCCCTCGCGCGGACAGTGCCCATTTACAATGCGAAACAGAAAGCAGGACTGTCACATTGGAAACACGAAGCTGAAATTCGCGCAGGGGGCAGCAAACCTCCGGCCTACAGCTTGGTGGCCCCGCAAGGTGGCCGGCGGATAATGGCGATTGCTCACGCGCTGCTGTCGCTCACGGCGGCCCCCGGGCAGCAGGGTTCCCCCTTCGCGAACTTGCTGTGCAGCGCCGATGTGTTCAACTTGATCGGGCACTGCGCGTTCGGCCCGCAGGATGACAGGTGGCGCGGAGTGCTTGCGCTCATCAGTCGGGGCGTCTTCGTCGAGCATCGCGTCCTGGTGGTCAACGCTTGGTACCTGTTCCGGCGTTGGGTGGCGATCCAGTTTGAGGAGATGGTTGCGGCGGCTGAGGGGCGGGCCATTCGCCGCCTCATCGAGGCGGATCCTGAGGGCGATCCGCTCCGCGCGGGCCCGCCTGTCTGACAGCCCCCGAAGTTGTTGCACTTCGCCCGCTGCTCGCTGCCCGCGCGCGCCAATCGTGCCGTTTGGGCAAGCTTATTGCACTGCCGAATCTTGGCGCCCACCCAACTGCTTTGCGTTTCGGGTGGGGTGGGGGGGGGGGGGCAGCAAGACCTCGCCCTCGTGCTCGCTGTCTTCCACCTCCATCCTCCGACCCCCCCCCGTCGCGTTCGCGCGCCGCCGCGGCGGCGATGGGCATGGGGGGGGGGGGGGAGCGGGGCGTCAGAGAAGAGGGAGGGGGGTGAAGAGGGAGGGGGGCGGGGGGCAGCCTACCCCCCTGTCGCATTCGCGTTCTCGACGGACCCAGAGGGGCCGCTTTGAGTGAATTGATTTTCGCTCCCTGGGGAAGCATTTGGTTGTCCGCGCCGTCACGCCGAATGATGGAAGCTATCGCGTCTACGAATATGTCATGGCACTTGAGCGGTGGTTCGTTGAACGGCCCAATGATAAGCGGCGGAGTGGGGCGCGCATGCGCGCGCGGAGTAAGTTTGTTCATTAAGGTTGCACTAGCGCGCGTGTGACTCGGCTCAGCCTTGCGTGCAGGTTTTCTAATGGATCATGGCTTCTCGGGCGTCGTCCGCCCATAGCCCGGGCATTCGCGTTTCTGGCTTTGAGGTTCAAACGGGATTTCACGCCATCGGTTCCAAGGCGCAGCTTCAGGGGTCATGGCCCAGGGGCCCCTGTGCAGCGCAAGGGCGGCAATGGTCGGGTCGGGGTTTTGAAGCCCAGGGTCTCTGGCCGCGATCGCGCCGCTTTTCAGAGCGGCTGTCGTTCTCCGGGTGCGTCGCGAAATTATTCGGAGGAGCGCGGGGGCCTTTGTAATGTGCGAGTAGCCATCTGGGCTCAAACCGCTTGCGTTTGCGAGTCTACCTCGCCATGGCTTTGGCTTCCCCGTCGATGTCCGCATCGTGTCTTTTGCACCCTCTCCCAGAATCCGCGCTCGCCTCGTTCCTCGCGGTGCTCCGGGATGTTCCTCATTCGCTGGCTGAGCCCTTCATATCACACGAGCTGCACGCACGCGGCGTTTCTGCAGAGCCCCGCGACGTGCGCAACGTGCTGTTCAAGCTTCGAGGCGCTGGGCTTTCCCAAGACATCGTCTCGGAGTTCGGCCCTAGCATCAAAGTTTGGCAACGGAAGTGCCCCGGCAAGCCGGCGGCGTACATCCGCGAGGACAGGGGGCGGTGCATTCATTGCCCCAGCGCGCTTGTTCCCGACAAGCGGTACGAGTCTTTTGACCAACAAATGTCGCAGGGTGGCATGCTGTACAGCACTGAGTCGCACCCCACGAGATTCAGAGCCTTTACGTTGCATGCAGGTATCCAGTTTGCGGTCTTTCAACCCTCGCACTGTCCAGCTTGCGGATGGCACTACATTGCCGGGTGGAAATACAAGGTCGATCGCAACCGCGTGACCGAGTGTCACTGGATAGGCCCTTGTCCAAATACTTTCTTCGTGATGCCAAAGCTGCGTTCGTGGCTCGCTGTTGACTTGAAGCTGTTATCATTCGTGAACAGCCAACTTCTGCACCAGACGGCTAGCTTCCAGTCAGTGTCCCGAGCGTGGGCCGACATGCACCCTGAGAGCGTGCAGCAAGACTTGCTCAAAGGTGCGACGGGCACGCTTGAACGCAACAACACGCAACGATTGGAAGACGCCTGGATGACCTGGTCTGCAGCTACGTGGGCCGACGGGAGCGATGGCGACGTCCCGTGGGATGTCAGTTCCCCAGACTCCTTTAGCGTGCAAAGATTTGCTGGACGATGCGCTCTTCAGTTCTGTCGTGAAGCATATTCCCGATTGCCCTCGGTGCGGCCACCTGCTGGCTCTGATAACGGACGGCGAAGTTGGAGCTTGCAGGCGCGTGTGCAGTAATCATGAACAAGTTCATGAAGATTCCTCAGTTAGGCGCCGTGGTCCACACTGGGTGCGCTGCGCACGTGGACAGCAACCATTTGTACTGCTCTGAGTGCGACCCCGCCTCGGCTCCGGCGCAAGATGTGGACGGGGTCGGGGCTCGACAAATCAGAGTATTTGAGGCGCGCGCCTGCCCTGACTTGGCGAATCCAGATTTGCGGTACAAAGTGGAGTTCGACGACGGAGTCGCGCGCATGATGCGCAGAGAAGACGTTCTACCTGAGCTCGTGCAATTCTTCGAGACACGACGGTGGCGCCGGAAATGTGCGCGTCAGCGCAAGGATCGATTTGACGCCTCAGCGCAAGCTGCGAAGTGTCGGAAAGGGAAGAAGGCCGTGGCACCGAAGACCCGGGATGTAGCTGCGTTGGACATACCCGCGTTGGAGAAGGAGGCAATTGCAGTCGTCGGTGGAAGCAGGGCGAGTGCAGCGAATGCCATGCCTGCTGAGTCGAATGCGGCAACGCCTTCGTCTTCTTGGCATGCCGCCCCGCCGCCAGAACATGGTCCGGCTGCCGGGCGCGCGACGCCGCCGGTTGGAGAGGGGGCCGCTGCGCGCGCGCCGGCGGAGCCCGGGATGTCTGCAGCTGCGCGATCTGCCCCGCCCGCGCCTGCAGTGCCGCGCCATTTTCGCATCACGAAGCGACGCCACGTGGCAAAGTATGGCCCGACAGTTGGATACCTCGGATGCGTGTTCAGGCAGGCGCACTCATCTGACTGCAGGAAGCGCATCGAAAGCAAGATCCATGAGGACCCTGACATGGTGGATTCCGTGAACAACTACCCAGCAGGCTTGCGCCGCGACGCCGAACCTCATCGGGGCGAGTCGTGGGCTCGCGCAGAGGGCGGGGGGGGGCAGGGTGGGGCGGGGCGGGGCGGGGGTGGGGGCGGTGGCGGCGGCGGTGGGCGGGCGGGTTGGGGTGGGGCGGGGCGGGGCGGGGCGGGCGGCGGCGTCTGGGGGGGGGGGCGGGACGAAAAAGAGGAAGTGGAGAATGATGAGGAGGGCGAGGATCCGCGGGAGGAGGAGCTCGAGCCAAATCGGGGCATGTGGGAAAGGCGTGGGGCGCAGAAGAGGAGCGAGGGCCCGTTCGGGAGATTTTTGGTGCTCGGAAAGCCCTTCGTGTGGTTTGGCGATCTTGCGGGCAGTCTACATACATGGAGGGCGCAACATAGAAGACCGCAAAGAAAGACGACAACAAATAATCTCACGCGCCGTGCCAACGACGTTGAAGAAGCGTCGGCGGATCTCGGTGCAAATCGCGGTGCACCTGGCGACGGACGCCCAGCAGCTGCTCCGGCGCCGCCGGATGAGTGCGCGAGGCCCGCGGTAGTGCCAGCAAATCCGAGGGCGGCTCCGAAGAATAATTCCCGAAAGGTTTGCCAAGGGCAAAAGGCCGGGCAGCGCGCCAGTGCTGCGCGCAGGCGGGGGTGCACCCCTGAGGTCTCAGACGATTGGTTGGCCGTGACCAGTAAAGACTTGGCAGCGGCCAAAGGCTGCCCAGTCGATAAGGAAACGAAGAGCTACACTGCTCGGAGGGAGACGGGGGGCATGCAGACATTCGTGCTACAATGTGGACAAGTGCTCAGTTTTTGCGAGCTCCTTCGTGGGGAATCGCTTCAGCTGGCGTACGCGATGCTGTTGCGCCTGGTCGGCAAGCTGACAGCCAGCGGGCATCAGCCGCAAGCCATATGTTACGACAACGCGTGTAAATTGTTGTCGATGGCCAGGTCGAAGCGCAATTTTTACCCGCCCCTCACAGAGATGTTTGCAAGTCTGGCCATACTGTTGGACCAGCTACACCGGGCCAATCACCACTGGTGCCTCGCAAACCTGCCGGAAGTGGACTGCCGCCGGGAAGAAGCCAGGCGTTTCACAGAAGGCGTGGACACGCAAGCGTGCGAACAATTTAACGACTTCGCGAACGAGCTGACATCTCCGGCGCGGGAAATGACTGCAGGGCGCTACTGGGCATGGTGGTCGTCCATTTTTCGTTTGAAGAACAGTTGGACACTGCGCCAACGAGGAGAAAACAGGCAGCGCTTTGCGCGAGGTTTTATGAAGCACGACCCCGATGTCCCGCGCCAGCGAGCCCAGAAGAAGGGGCCGTTGCAGGCGCATTGATGGGGGTGATCTGCTGATCGGCCACTTTGGCATCTAGCGCGCATCACATTCGTTTCTAAGGTCGGCGTCGCGCTCTTGTGCATTCCAAGAGTCCGACGTGGCCTCGCTCCGTTTCACCACCTTGTTAACCTTGCGACCCCGCTTCGGTCGCGCAACGGGTCGGTCTGCACCGCAGGAGAATCGCGTTCTTATCTTCCCCCGCCCCCCTCGCCCCTCCCGCCCACGGTCGGGCGCCGGCCCTCTGCGCGGCTGACTGCGCGGCCGACCCTTCGCGCGGACAAGTAATGCCAGTCGCCCTCAGGGTGCCCCCGCCCTCTACTCCTTAATATTGGGGGCCGCGGGCAATTTCAATGTTTCGGGGCTCTCTTGGGGTCCTCTTGGGGGCCTCAAGGCCGTTTTGGGCCACTCCTGGTGGCATGTTGGAGCCGTCTTGGGGCCTCCGAAGCCCGTCGGAAACGAAAAAGCGAGAAGGCGCATGTTCGACAGGTTTTGGACATGTTTTGGCCTTTTCGGGGGCGTCCTTGGGAGGCTCCGTGGCCACTTGGAGCCGTCTTGGCGTTGTTTTGGAACCTCTTCGAGGCATGTTGGGGCCCACCTTGAGTCATCTTGATATATCTGGTGCGATATAGGAGGCCATATTGGGATATTTGGGCCCGTCATGGTGCCATCTTGGGGCACCTTGAACCTTTGAACCCAACGAGACCGCTCCTTTTCCAGACCCAGGGGAAGGGGTGTGGAGGATGAAAAAACCCTTCCACGAAGGGGGGCCGAGGGGTGGAAGAGCAAGCTCCCCTAACCACATACGCCCTAAAGGGCTGGTGGGGGTCAGAAATGGAATGGGAACAGGAGGGCCAGGGGGCAGGTGGGATTTCCACGGCGGCGCCATTCCAGGTGCACAGTCAATCCAGCTGCCCCGCTTTGTGCACCGCTGCCCGGCCAGCTTTCCACCCTGCGGGCATCTGTTCAGTGCCCTAGACGATTGACGACACCTGATCACAATAGGACACGGGCACCGCTTAACGGCCCGTACACCGGTAGTTCGCGAGCCCCGCAAACGCGTTCGCATAATTTGTCGCCCGGTGACATTCGCACGGTCGATTTTATGATGCCAGTGCCACAGCACCTCATTGTAAATTATTGACGCTTCGCGCATCCCCACCAGCCCATCCAGAAACGATGCCCAGGCGAATTGAGGTGATCAGGGAAGTGCAGGAGCATACATAATACCAAAGGGCTGGGGAAACCGCATTACCCAAGAGGGCGAGGAAGGAGGAGGAATCGGAAGAGGAGGAGGAGGAGGATGAGGAGAAGGAGGAGGAGGAGGAGGAAAAAGTGGAGGAGGAGGAGAAGAAGGGGAAGGGGGAGGAGGGAGGAGGGAGGAGGAGGAATAGGAGGAAGGAGACGCGAGCAGAATGGCCAGAGGCTTCTTGGATGCCTCTCAGAGTCTCTTCGGATGTCTCTTGGGAGCTTGTGGGAGGCCTCATGGGGCGTCGTATGGGCTTCTTGGCGGTCCTGGGGGCCTCTTGCGGCGTCTGAGATGCCTCGGGGAGCCTCTTGGGGCCTCTTGGGGGTCTCTTGGGGGCCTATTGCTACCCTCTTGGTGGCCTCTTGGGGCCTCCTGGGCGCCTCTTGGGGCCCTATTGGGGCACTTTTGTGAGCCCTGGGGGAACTTTCGGGGCCATCTTGGAGGAGATCGATCAAAGGAGGGGGGGTCCGTCAACTCCCGCCGCCCATCGGGAGCCCAAAATATCGCCTTTTGGATCCCTCTTGGAGCGCTCTTGGGCGCTCTTTGGGCCGTCTTGGGGTTCTCTTGGGCCTCTCTTGGGGCCCGCTTGGGCAATGTTGGAGCCATCTTGAGGCTTCGGAAGGCCATCGAAAGCAAAAAGGCGAAACTACAACATGTCTTTTTGGTTTGTGATGGATTTTGGTTTTTCGGGGCCTTCTTGGGAGGTTCCGTGGCCACTTGGGGCCGTCATGCAGCGGTCTTGGGGCCTCGTGGGGCATCTTGGGAACCATCTTGCGGCATCTTGGGCCATGTTGGGCCGTCTTGGGGGGTCACCTTGGGTTCTCTTGGGCTCTCTTGGGCATCTTGGGCCATACTTGACGCTCAAACTACCAGCGAAACGCCCCGTCCAGGTCCAGGGGGGGGGGGGTAAAAGGGAGGGGTAAACTCCTCCCCGAAGGGGAAGAAGGGGAAAATGGAAGAAAACATTCTCTAGACCACCTACGGGTCCGCCCGCCCGACACGCCCGTTAGGGCCCGCCCGCCCGACCCGAACCGATCCGCCCGACCCGACCCGTCAGACCCGTCAGTTAGGGGTATGCGCGTGCCAATTCGATGATGCATCGTATTTGAGTGCTCCGCCCGCTACTTAAAACGCAACATCCAGCACTCCACAGCCCCCGTGCCCAACACGACACACCCAGTACTCGACAGCCTCCATTTCCCGACCCCCCCGTTGGGGTCCGCCCGCCCGACCCGACCCGCCCGTTCGGGTACGCGCGTGCCAACCCGATGATGCATCATACTTGGCGTCGGCGCCGCCGTCGCCGTCGTCGGCGGCGTTCTCGTCGTCGTCGGCGCCGTCGTCGTCGTCGTCCTCGTCGTCGTCGTCGTCGTTGTCGTCGTCGTCGTCGGCGTCGTTGGTGTCGTCGGCATCGTCGTCGTCGTCGTCGTCGTCGTCGTCGTCGTCGTCGTCGTCCTCGGCGGCGCAGTCGTCGTGGTCGTCGTCGTCGTCGCCGCCGTCGTCGCCGTCGTCGTCGTCGCCATCGATCTCGTCGTCGGCGGCGTCGTCGTCGTCCGCGTCGTCGAAGTTGTCGTTGTCGTTGTCGTCGTCGTCGTCGGCGCATGGCTAGGGTTAGGGGCTGCGATATAGGAGGCCATATTAGGACTTTTGGGCCCGGATTCGGCGTGGGCTCCAGGCTGAGATCTATCACGCCGCTCGGATTCCGGATTCTGGATTCCGGCTTCATCCGGAATCCAGCATTCCGGATTCCAGAGCCCGGATTCCGCGTGGGGTCCAGGCTGAGATCCATCACGCCGCTCGGATTCCGGATTCCGGACTCCGGATTCGGATTCCGGATTGGACCTCAGAGTCCAGAATCCAGAATTCTGGATTCCGGATTCCGGATTCGGCATGGGCTCTCGGCTGAGATCCATCATGCCCTTCGGATGCCGGATTCCGGACTCCGGATTCGAATTCCGGATTAGACCTCAGAATCAGGAATCCAGAATTCCGGATTCCGGATTCCGGCTTCGGCGTGGGCTCCAGGCTGAGATCCATCACGCCGCTGGGATTCCGGATTCCGGATTCCGGATTCGGATTCTGGATTGGACCTCCGGATCCAGAATTCCGGATTCCGGATTCCGGATTCCGGATTCGGCGTGGGCTCCCGGCAGAGATCCATCACGCCATTCGAATTCCGGATTCCGGATTCGGATTCCGGATTGGACCTCAGAATCCCGAATCCAGAATTCCGGATTCTGGATTCTGGATTCCGGAATCCGGATTCCGGATTCGGCTTGGGCTCCCGGCAGAGATCCATCATGCCACTCGGATTTCATTTCGGATTCCGGATTCCGGATTCGGATTCCGGATTGGACCTCAATTCCGGATTCCGGATTCCGGACTCCGGATTCGGCGTGGGCTCCCGGCTGAGATCCATCATGCCACTCGGATTCCGGATTCCGGATTCCAGATTCGGATTCCGGATTGGACCTGTCCGGAAAGACTCTCCGGATCACCTCTCGTTCGGTGATACAGGTTTTGGAAGGATTTCGGCATGCGCGCGCAGCCGACGTGCGCGAATGGCCCACATAGTGTGCTTGTACAGTGATCGTGCCCTCCCCAGCAAGCGCGCAAGGACGTTCGAAATACGATGGGTCGCGCGCGAAAGCCCCTCTTGGTCGCACTTGATGAAAACGTTAAACCGATGGGTTTCGCAGAAATTCGCAAGAGCGCGCGCGCAACCCTCTTTCCCAACCATCCGGTTGTTGCGTCTTCGTTTTGAAGAGAGAGTTTCCGCGTCTTTTCCTCATTGAGCTCCTCCTTCTCCTCCTCCTCCTCCTCTCCTCCTCCCCCTCCTCTCTCCTACCATTCCTGCCTTTGCCCTCCGCGTGTCCATGTCGGTACACTTATCACACGTTTTGTGGTCCCATCGGGAGTTCCACCGAAAACCCCAGAGGTAGGGTCCACATGCGTCCGCCCGACCCATGCTGGCACACCCCTCACACTTGTAAGGGCCCCACAGGTCCACCGAAGGCCCCAGTGGGAGGGTCCACATGCGCCCGTCCGACTCACAGTCACACCCTCCGTGGCCCCAACGGGAACTCGACCGAGGGCCCTACTGGCAGGGTCCACACGTGTCCGCCCGACTCATGTCATCACACCTCTCACAAGCTTCGTGGTCCCATAGGGAGCTCCACCAGAGGCCCCAGTGGCCGCCCGACCCATGTTGTTTCGTGGCCCTCTAAGGAACTCCACCGATGGCGCCACTGGGAGGGGTCAGATGCATCCTCCCAGCCCATGTCGGCACACCCCTCACACGCTTCGTGGCCCCATACGGAGCTCCACCGAAGACGTCTCACAACTGCGTTGTCCACACATGTATGAGTCTGGGTCCTCCGCCAGGATAGTTGACAAGCCCCGATGCAAAACCAGTATATTTAATGATTTATGGGGATTCGGTATTGCAGATTTCACGCACCTGAGATGTTTGAAGAGTTTCGCCGTACACGCGCGAAGACGCGCGCGTGTATGGACTTTGTTTTATATGTTGCCATGGTTGTTCTTATTGTTTTGAAAATTTGTGAGTTGATGTATGAACGAGTGCGCGCGCATAGTATCATTTTGACGAGGAGGGGTGTCGATGACGTCCTGCCTGGGGTGGTCCGAGTTGATATTTAAGAGGAACGATGGTGCACAATCGTATGTAAACGGCAATATCTCAAAGGGGGGCGCAAATGTATAGCCAACCGATCTTGCATAACCGAGATTGCGCCACATAGAAATTTATATATACATATATATATATATATATATATATATACACATATACATATACATACATATGTATAGGTATTCTCATACGCACTTCTCCGAGGGAGTAGAGCTCAGAGGCGATTCATGCGCACGTCGTCCGCGATGTTTCTGGCCGTTTCGCTCGGGACATCCTCGAAATTCTGAAAGTCGGTGGCACCCCTCACGCAGATCGGGACGTCAGGGTCCAAAAACACATTGGAATTTCCACATTTTAACATAAAACCTTCAAACACACATGGTAATTTCAATAATTTTGACCCCGATTCTCAGAGAATGGCGGTTTCGCCTGAGACATCCTCCCAAAATCGAGCCCCAGACCCCTCCTCGGAGCCTCCTGGGGGCCTCCTGGAACCTCCTGGGGCCTCCTGGGGCTTTCTGGACCTTCTGGTACCCCAGACCCCGCCTCGGAGCCTCCTGGAGTTCTCCTGGGCCTGCTGAGGCCGCCTGGGGCCTCCTGGGGCCTCCTGGGGCTTCAGAACTACATGCAGACACAGAGACACAAATCACGCCCGACACATCACATGCTAGACAAACATAACCTACACACAACACCGACAACACACAAAAAGCACGCACCACACAAAGCACACATCACACACACAGCACTCACAATCCTGGGGCCTCCTGGAGCCTCTTCTGGTAGCCAAGTCGGGCCTCCTGAGGCTTCCTGGGGGGCCCTGGTACACACATCGCAAGGTGTGGCAACCCCACCTGCGCTCGAGTGCGACTTCGCTGTTGCATGTCACTCCTGCTTCAAACACCCCTTCAGCTTGTTGTATGAGCCTGGGCACACACGTGCCACTTGTGTATATATATATATATATATATATGTACAGCACCACAAATATTCCACACCGTATGGTTGACCATAAATTTTGCTGCGCATATATAGCACGCTATATATATATATATATATATATATATATATATATTCATTTATTATAAATATACATATATCGCTGGAGACACCCTGTTCGGGATCCACGCTGGCAAACAAGTGTTGCTGGAAAGGAGAACCTATGCGGGACAGCGACGGGGCGTCAACAAGACGGCGGACCCGACAAACGAACACAGACGACGGGCGGCGACGGGGCGGCGACAGCGGCAGCAGGGCGGCGGATCCGACAAACAAGCCCAGAGGACGGATGGCGACGAGGCACTGACGGGGCGGCGTCGGCGGCAACAGGGCGGCGGATCCGACAGGCAAGCACAGTTCCCCGGGGAACAAGTGAGATTCCCGAAGCGCAAACATCGTTTGGATCATCTTGTCTCGGGGCTCTCGGTGCCCAGAACCCAGTCGCAACGTCCCACCCAGGTTGCTGCATGGCTGTGGAGGTGGAGGTGGAGTCTTGTACAACATGCGGCTTCAATCCCAAAATTGAGAAGTTCACCGAAATGTTCAATACCATGTTTGGTGACAAGATAGCGATCGCCTCTGAGGACAGCGGCAAAGGCAAGTGTGTCATCTCGATCGGCGATGACGTCGTCTTCGAGCAGATTGGCAAGGGAAGGGGAAAGGAAAGGACAAGGACAAGGGCAAGCACCATGACAAAGGCACCGGCAAAGACAAAACGAAGGACTGGGGTGAGGACGGCGACGAGGGAAAAGGCACGGGCAAGGACAAGGCTAAGGACAAGTCCAAGGATGAGGGCAAGGATAGGGAAGACCACTGGGACAAAGGTAAAGGCAAAGAGAAGGGCAAGGATAAGCACAAGCACAAGGATAAGGACAAGGAGAAGGGGAAGGCAGACCACATGGACAAAGGTAAAGGAAAAGAGAAGGGCAAGGATAAAGACAATGG